GTGCTGTCTGTGGGGGGGTTACGGGGGGCTGTTGAGGGGCTCCAGGCCCATGCTGCGGTGCAGGCAGCCCCGCTGCTGGCTGAAGGTGTCAAAGGTGAACTTGCCATGGTACTTCCCCAGGCCACTGTTCCCTGCAACAACACGGCACAGGTTCAGGCTCCCGAACAGGAATCGGCTCCTGAAGGCTCCAACAGAAGTAGAATTTTGGGTCCTCCGTGACAAGAAGGACGTGGAGCAGCTGGGGGGTGGCCAGGGAAGGGCAAGGGGGCTGGGGAAGGGGCTGGAGCAGAAGGAGAAGGGGCTGGAGAACTTGTGAGGAGCAGCTGAGGGAGCTGGGGAGCCTGGAGCAAAGGAGGTGAGGGGAGACCTGCTGGCTCTGCAGCTGCTGAGAGGAGGTTGGAGCCAGGGGGGTCGGGCTCTGCTCCCCAGGAACAAGGGATGGGACAAGAGGGAACGGCCTCAAGCTGCACCAGGGGAGGCTGAGGTTGGATCTGGGGAACAATTCCTTCCTGGAAAGGGTTGTCAGGCCCTGGCCCAGAGAGGGTGGGGGAGCCCCCATCCCTGGAGGGGTTTAAAAGCCATGTAGATTTGGTGCTGAGGGACATGGTTTGCCACTGGACCCTGTAGAGCTGGACCCAGTGATCTGAAAGGTTTTTTCCAACCATAACGATTCTGTGTGCTCTGAGGACCCACAGGGTCTGGCTTCCAGACCTACTCCTGCGAGCTTGGACAAGGATCAGGGAGGCTTGGGAGAAGCCAGGCTGAATTTCTCCTTGGACTTCCATTGAGTTTGCTTGTTTTGTTGTTTTAGAGACCTTGCAGCTGAAAACCTTGGGGCTCAGGCTGCCCTCAAGGCTCTGCAGGCGTGTGTCTGTGTGTGCAGCCTTACAGAAGTCAAGTCAGGAGATAATAATAAGGAGATACCGTGTCCACCAGCGACATATGGACACAGTGGGGGACTGACAGAAATATAATAAATAGGATTTTTGTCTTAGGCTATAATAGAACAGCTTTGCAAAAGCTTTTGAGAGCTGGTGGGGTGGTGAGCAGGCTGTGGAGCAACGCTGCTTCGTGGTGGTGCAGAAAAAACAGCATTCAAGCTTCTGTCTGACATCAGGATGGAAAAGTCGGGTCCTCTTTGCAAGCCTCAGGGTAACAGTTTAACCTGGAGAGACCCACAGGCTCTTTGTACAGGAAATAACCCTGTCAGATCAGCACTGCAGGGAACATGTGGGGCCCGCTGGAAAAAGTGCAGATCCTGCACATTTTTTTGCTTTTTCTACAAAATCCAGCTTTAGAAGGTTGCAGGGTGTTGGAGTTTTCTGTGGTTTTGTTTTTTTTTTTTGTATAAGTTTGCATTTCTTGTGTCTGTGTGAGACCTTCAGGGTATGTTTTCCAAGAATGCCACCCATCACACCAGGGAAAGAATGTGGGTGTACGTGGTGAAATACAGAAAATCATCTGGGGATAATTTTTCAGGATAGGTTTTGTAGGTCCCTTGGTATTCTTGAGTGTGGGTGGGACTGTTTAATTCCTCTGTGTCCTCCACTTTTCTTCCCTAGCATATGGAAATACACTGGAATACCTGTCTCCCAATACAAACAACTTTTCAGCTCAGAACCTGAGACTCATAAAGAAACAGTGGGGTTTTTTTTCCTTCCTGTAATGTAGGGGTTAGATTGTCTGTCCTAAGTAGTTTAGTGAACTGTTGGATGTCCCTTTTCCTTACTGCTGCTTTGTTTTTTTTACCAGCTGCTTGGTTTTGAGTCCAGCTTTTCCTCTGTGCTCTGGTTTTGTTGTTTTTTTCCCCTTGTGATCCCAAAAGCTGGAGGTGCTCAGACTGGCTGGGGCCCTTCTGGTGTGTTTCCTCTCTGGTGTAGGAGAACCTGGAGAGATGTGTTTCCTGTGACTTAACCCTGTCTAATCTGAAAAGTCCACAGCAGAGGAGGTTTCCACTGTGCTGCCTGAGAAATAGTTTAAGTGTTGAACAGACCTCCCTGTCTGGCATGCACCCCCTGCTCTGTGGCAGATCCATTGCAAGGAACGTCCCCTGATCTCTGGGATGAATTGGTCTCATTACTTCCCCAGCTTCCTGAAATGGGTTTAATTCCTTCCTTTGGGTCATTCTCTTGCTTGATCCCTCCTCTTCCTTAGCGTTTGGAGCATCTGGAGACCTTATCCTATTAGCAATGTCACTGTGTAGGTAAGTGATCCTTATTAGCTCATCTTGACCTTTTTAAACCCCTTTACTTCCTCTGTGCAGTTCTGCCTTTCCTCTGATTAACCAAACATGCCAGGGGAGCAGCTGAACTGGATGGAGCAGGTACTGCACACTCTGAACACCACAGAGTTTGCACTTAGGTGCCCTCTCACACCTCAGCCTGTAGATGCCAGCCTGGGAACTCCTGCTGGTCACAGCTCACTCTGTGTCTGTGCACACTGCTTTTTATCAGGCAGCCCAGGGACACTGAATGGCTCAAAAAGAGCTATCTTTGCTTGGAGGCACTGTCTGTCCTTTTTCCTCTGGACAAAACTAATTGTAGTTTCTTGCCTTTCCCCCAACACACTGTTACATGTTTTTTTCCACACTTCCAAATTCCATAGTATCTCCAGGATGGGCCTCCTTATCTAGATCTTCCTAGTCAAGGTTCAGTAAAACGAGGTGGAGTCAATGGGACACTAGTTAGTTTCTATCTAGGAAAAGGAAGGTAGTTTTCCTACCTTCTTAGCCATGCTCTGTGACTGTTCTTCTGATGCTTTCACTTGTTCTTGCTCAATGGCCTTCAAGAAAATCTGTCATACTGACTGTGTCCTTCTCCAGGTCTATAGTAAAAAATGCTGTCTAGTTGGCATGGCATGGTGCTGATCTTGTGCTCTTCATCTTCCAAAAGTTTTTCCATGTGTGCTTTTCCACATGTTTTCCTGTGGTATCTGAGATGAATTTGCTGGTAGCTGCTGCTGCTTTCCCTCTCTTATCTAGATCTTCCTAGTCAAGGTTCAGTAAAACGAGGTGGAGTCAATGGGACACTAGTTAGTTTCTATCTAGGAAAAGGAAGGTAGTTTTCCTACCTTCTTAGCCATGCTCTGTGACTGTTCTTCTGATGCTTTCACTTGTTCTTGCTCAATGGCCTTCAAGAAAATCTGTCATACTGACTGTGTCCTTCTCCAGGTCTATAGTAAAAAATGCTGTCTAGTTGGCATGGCATGGTGCTGATCTTGTGCTCTTCATCTTCCAAAAGTTTTTCCATGTGTGCTTTTCCACATGTTTTCCTGTGGTATCTGAGATGAATTTGCTGGTAGCTGCTGCTGCTTTCCCTCTTTGGAAGATGTCTGTGGCCAAGTGTTCAGACACGTTTGAGAGGCAGGAAGGGAGCAATTTTAGTGAGAGAGGTGGTAGCATCACGCTGTTGTTGGGTGCCACAGCCCAGGAGAAACAGGCCTGGCAGTAGTTGGTCCTCATGGTTTGACTGCTTTTTGTGTTTGGATATGGTGAGGGAGAATAAGGCTCTTTGGAGCTGCACATGGCTGAGAAGATAAGCCCAGTATGAGGCTGGAGGCAGAGCAAGGGACAAGACGTGGCCTGGCTGGAATACAGGAGGTAGGGCAAATTCAGGGGAGGAAAAGAGAGGCTGGGGAGAGAAAATGAACCTAACCAAAGGAAGGTGGTAGCTTTTCTGCAGGAGAAGGTAGGGGGCAAGAAGCAGTAGACAGGGGTGTGCAGGAGGAGGGATTGGTGCTGTGCATGTGGCCCACAGCTCAGCTAAGCCTTGTGACCCAGAGATAAGTGGCAGCAGGTTAATCTGGAGTGCAGTGTGTGTGTATCCTGCTGAGTGACTGGAGGTGATAGAAGGCTTCCACGTGTGCAAGACTTGCACATGCTCCCACTGTTCAAATGACAAGTGACCACGTGAGGACAGCCCAGTGCATGAAGAAGGGGTGATGCACACGATCCAGGCCACACTGTGGTTGCAGAGCCCTGTCAGGCAAGCCTTCCTCTCATAAGACCCCAGCAACTGCAAATTTCATCAGTCTCTTCCAGTCTGTGGGCAGTTGACAAAGTCCAACTGATCACTGGGAAGCAGTGTCCTAGGTGACTCCTGCTTTCCTCTTCTTAGGCCATCTCTACTTGCCAGCCACTGAAACTGAAAAATAGGGCCTCAGCTCAATGGACATGCACTGGTTTAGACAGCTCTGTGGAGGACTTTGGTGGGAGACCAGTAGGTAAAACATAGATGCTACCCCTCTGAAGCAGGGGTGGGGGTTTGCAGAGCAAGGGATTAGGGTCTGTACTTTGCTAGGAAATGGGAGAGCTGTGCTCCCTTCTTCTTGCTACTCTCCTTCAGTTGGCTAAGCTGTGTCTCTGAACTGAGGTCTACTGGGTATATACTGGAGTCCTAAACAAGCCAGCTGCAGGCTGTCTCTCTCTGGAAGCAGGAGAGGATGGGATTCCTGGAGCAGCTGTCTTCAGTAATGCTCTTTCCTGTGTTAATAGTATCTGGGACATGTTGGTTGAGAAGGGTGCCTGGAATTGTCTGTGAGGGAGTGCTGACTGTTGAGAAACCAGCCCTTCTTCAAAGGTGTGCAGGCTGGGCATCTCACACTAGACTTGGTGGGATTCTCAAAGTTCCCAGGGTAGGAGTGGAGATTTCCCCCCAAGTCTTTATTTTTGAGTCATGACCTCTTGCGTTGCTGGTCTGGAAGCCATCCATGCCAGGGGTGAAGCACCTCATCAGGGAGGCAGTAGCTGTGTGCAGGGTAAAGGAACTGGTGCTGCTGGACCCAAAGCAGGTCGTCAAAGCTAATCCTGGCCTCTTCATGTCCCATCACCCTCCCTGCCTCACTTCAGTGCCTGTGAGAGGCTGGAAATGGATATGTTCCCAAGGAAGGCTGTGAGTTGCCCCCATCTAAAGTTTCTCTGTGCTGTTAACCCACAGCCAGGCCAATTTTGAGGAAGACAGCCAGAAGGAAGTAGCTGTGGGACACTGGAAGACACTAATGCCATCCAAAGGCAGCAAGGAGGAGCCAGAAGCTGGGTGCCAAGATGCTGGAGGTGTGGATGAGACCCAGACCACCGAGCAGCTCGATGTGTCACGTCTACGCAGCTCCTCAGTGGAGATCCGTGAAAAGGGGTCTGAATTCCTGAAGGAAGAGCTGCACAAAGCACAAAAGGTAAGGCCCAGAGTTTGTGTAAACACCTGAGGATGGTGGCACAGATTTGAGCAGTGGGGGTTTTCCTAGAGGTGGTGCAGAGGGCAGCAGGGTCTGAATGTGTCTGTGCTGCAGTGTGAAGCCCACAGAAGAGGAGTGAGAAGGAGCTGAGGTGGCCATGAAGTGCTTTGGACCAGGGCATCATTTGCTAGGTTGACCCAAAGTCTCTGTCCCAACATCCGAAGTAGTCCTGGAAACCTGCTGCAGAAAGCAGCTGGAGGCAGGCAGTGTGTGCTCTGGAGCCTCCCTGCTCATGGCAAATGAGCAATTCCAGCCTGAAAAGCCTGTTGCAATTTGTGGAGGGGTGGCATGGAGCCTGGGACAGAGCTTGGTAACAGGATTGTTGGGCTGGGGAATGGTTGTGATTGACAGGTGGGGACAGAGCAACTGCAAATTTCATCAGTCTCTTCCAGTCTGTGGGCAGTTGACAAAGTCCAACTGATCACTGGGAAGCAGTGTCCTAGGTGACTCCTGCTTTCCTCTTCTTAGGCCATCTCTACTTGCCAGCCACTGAAACTGAAAAATAGGGCCTCAGCTCAATGGACATGCACTGGTTTAGACAGCTCTGTGGAGGACTTTGGTGGGAGACCAGTAGGTAAAACATAGATGCTACCCCTCTGAAGCAGGGGTGGGGGTTTGCAGAGCAAGGGATTAGGGTCTGTACTTTGCTAGGAAATGGGAGAGCTGTGCTCCCTTCTTCTTGCTACTCTCCTTCAGTTGGCTAAGCTGTGTCTCTGAACTGAGGTCTACTGGGTATATACTGGAGTCCTAAACAAGCCAGCTGCAGGCTGTCTCTCTCTGGAAGCAGGAGAGGATGGGATTCCTGGAGCAGCTGTCTTCAGTAATGCTCTTTCCTGTGTTAATAGTATCTGGGACATGTTGGTTGAGAAGGGTGCCTGGAATTGTCTGTGAGGGAGTGCTGACTGTTGAGAAACCAGCCCTTCTTCAAAGGTGTGCAGGCTGGGCATCTCACACTAGACTTGGTGGGATTCTCAAAGTTCCCAGGGTAGGAGTGGAGATTTCCCCCCAAGTCTTTATTTTTGAGTCATGACCTCTTGCGTTGCTGGTCTGGAAGCCATCCATGCCAGGGGTGAAGCACCTCATCAGGGAGGCAGTAGCTGTGTGCAGGGTAAAGGAACTGGTGCTGCTGGACCCAAAGCAGGTCGTCAAAGCTAATCCTGGCCTCTTCATGTCCCATCACCCTCCCTGCCTCACTTCAGTGCCTGTGAGAGGCTGGAAATGGATATGTTCCCAAGGAAGGCTGTGAGTTGCCCCCATCTAAAGTTTCTCTGTGCTGTTAACCCACAGCCAGGCCAATTTTGAGGAAGACAGCCAGAAGGAAGTAGCTGTGGGACACTGGAAGACACTAATGCCATCCAAAGGCAGCAAGGAGGAGCCAGAAGCTGGGTGCCAAGATGCTGGAGGTGTGGATGAGACCCAGACCACCGAGCAGCTCGATGTGTCACGTCTACGCAGCTCCTCAGTGGAGATCCGTGAAAAGGGGTCTGAATTCCTGAAGGAAGAGCTGCACAAAGCACAAAAGGTAAGGCCCAGAGTTTGTGTAAACACCTGAGGATGGTGGCACAGATTTGAGCAGTGGGGGTTTTCCTAGAGGTGGTGCAGAGGGCAGCAGGGTCTGAATGTGTCTGTGCTGCAGTGTGAAGCCCACAGAAGAGGAGTGAGAAGGAGCTGAGGTGGCCATGAAGTGCTTTGGACCAGGGCATCATTTGCTAGGTTGACCCAAAGTCTCTGTCCCAACATCCGAAGTAGTCCTGGAAACCTGCTGCAGAAAGCAGCTGGAGGCAGGCAGTGTGTGCTCTGGAGCCTCCCTGCTCATGGCAAATGAGCAATTCCAGCCTGAAAAGCCTGTTGCAATTTGTGGAGGGGTGGCATGGAGCCTGGGACAGAGCTTGGTAACAGGATTGTTGGGCTGGGGAATGGTTGTGATTGACAGGTGGGGACAGGCAGGAATGCCTGCTGGGAGCTCACACGTCCCTCTCCCTTTCCTCCACAGGAGCTGAAGCTGAAGGACAAAGAATGTGAGAGGTTGTCAAAAGTCAGAGAACAACTGGAGCAGGAACTAGAGGAGCTAACAGCTAGCTTGTTTGAGGTACCACCCTCTTCCTTTCCCCATCATATTTCTTTAGCTAAGCTTACATCCAACTCCTTTAAGACAGGCTTTCCCTGAACTTCAACCATCTCCTCCCACAGTTTCCTTCTTTCTCCTCTTGTTCTTTCCCACTTGGAGATGCAGAGCTGGGCAGTGCTGCTGGCAGAGCCTGAGAGCAGGGGCTTGTACCTGCTCCTGGGGAGCATTTGCATGCATTTCTTTCCTTTCTAGCAGCTGTGGGGTGGCATAAAGAAAACAGTTGTTAAGGGGCTGTACATCCAGTAGGAAAAACAGACGTGGGGGTGTCTGTAGCTTGAGAACAGAGCTCCCTGTCTCTCTCCAGTGCCTGCTCTGCAGTCTGGACAGCAGCTGCTGTGTAATAGAGATGATTCCCTTGCTTGGGGTGGGAACAAGCTGGGTGTCCTCATATCCTCTGCCCCAGGAGTGTTCAGAGGCCTGTTGGTTGATTTTTTTTTTAACTGTGACTCTTGCCAAGCTCTATCCTGGCAAAATCCCACTTACCAGTAGCTCTGATGTCTGGATCTGACTGGGCAGCGAGGAAAGCCAGACCCATCTGTACCTTTGAAACACAGGCTGGTGCTGAGTGTGAGGGCCAAGAGAGCATCCCCCCTCCTGGAGATCTGGCTGCCTGGGCTCAGGGCAAACTTAGAGATCATTTAGCTGACGGCTGTCCCCTTCCTTTGGTGGCCTTGGACAGACTGCTTCCTGACAGCTCTCTGGGAAGGCCCCAGCTGGGACTCACCCCTCTTCCTGTGGGAGATGCCTTTAAATTAGGCTCTCCCATTTGCCCTCCATCTGAGCAACAGCTCCTGCTTGGTTGCAGCCTTGCTCAGAGTACTGAGGGGTGGCTGCTCCATGAAGGAAGTGGGAGCAAAGTGCAATAACAAGTCAGGCAAGAGGAATGATCTCGCCAGCAAGGAGCCAAGATGTGGAGCAGCAAGGCTGGATCAGGATCTGTGCCACAGACAGCAGTTAGGGTCAGAAAACACTCCAGTGATCAACCAGAAGGTCTGCAGGGACAACACAAGCCAGAGGTCAAGTGAGGAAGCCCAGCTAGTGAGTCTGAGTCAAGATCAGTGTCACAGAGGTGTTGGACTGGGCTGAGAAGCAGTTCCCAAGGGCAAGGAGGGGCAGGCCCTTGCTTCCAGCTGTCTTCACAGCAGCCCATACCTGTGAAAGAGATGACCTTTTTTTTTTTTTTTTCCTTCTTCCCTCGTAGCCCCTGGCATCTTATGGCTTTTATAGGTTTTATATCCTGCTACAGAGTTTTATTGCTCTCCTGCACCTGTGGCTGGCTTTCCTCTACCCATCCCCCCACCCAGTGCTGCATCTCCTACTTTTCAAATGTAGCTTCTTTTAACTTCTAGTCAAACATCTCAGATCAGCTCAACTCTTTAATTAAGCCAACCAGACAGCTAGGAGGGGGATGCACTCTGGGCTCTAGCACTGAGAGCCTTCTCTGGGAGATTCTGGGAGAAGACTCTTCACAGCCGACAGAGTAAAACCCTCAGAGGTGACAGTGATGTCTGTGCCTCTGCTTGCTAGCCCAGAGCGTGTGATGTGGCAGAGCTTTAGGCCTGCCCTGGTGGCTTTAGGAGCTGGGGCTGCAACAGGCAGACTAAAATTCTCTCTGGTCCAGGAAGCGCACAAGATGGTGAGAGAAGCAAACACTAAACAGGCGGCGGCGGAGAAACAGCTGAGGGAGGCACGGGGGAAGGTGAGATCTGCACTCCCTGTGACTTGGTCTCTGTGCTGGGTTGGTTCCATCCCTGCCCAGCCTGCCCATGGTGCTTTGTTGGCTGGAGAAGAGTAAAGCGCCAGCATCTTGGTCTCTCTGAGGTGTTGCGTTTGCTCTGTTCCCTCTCCAGCAATACGGTGGGTGAGGGGGGAAAAGGCAGCCCTGCTGCTCTTCCAGCTCCCTGTTGAGAAATGGATGCCAGGGGAGCCACAGAGAGGTGATCTGCCATTTATTGCCACAGCTGTGGGGATGGATGGAGCAGGGAGCTGGGGAGTTGGAATTTCCTGACATCACAGGGCTGTTCAACTTGTTACTTCTTAAGGAGAGAGGAAATTATGGGGTCTAAAAAGAACCTGGGGCAACATGTACTCAGACTGAGGAGCAGAGGGATGGGTTCCCAAATAGGTGCTGTTTAGCCCTGTTCAAAATTCTGGGTGATGGTGGGCATGTGGGAGAAGTGGGAGAAGGCTTCATGGTTGGGCTGGTAGCTGGTTCCCTGTGGCTTTAGGTTTGGTGGGGTGCAGCAAGCTCAAGTTCAGCAGATGCTGAAGGTGTCTTGCCTTGTCTCCCCAGATTGACATGCTGCAGGCAGAGGTGACAGCTCTGAAGACCCTGGTGATCACGTCCACACCTTCCTCTCCCAACCGGGAGCTGCACCCTCAGCTCCAGAGTCCTTCCAAAACTGTGTTCAGGAAGGGCCACGGGCGAAACAAGAGCACCAGCAGTGCAATGGTCTCAGCTGCCAGCCAGAATGTGACTCCAGAGCCAGTCAGTCGGGAGTGCAAAGAGGTGGGTGAGGCCATTCGCCTCATGCTTCATCAGCCTTGGAGCTACCACTGTGCTCAGGGAGCTGTGCAGCTTTTGACTTGGGCTTTCTGGAGAGCTCTGTGGTTGCAGTGTTGGGAGAAACTGGTTGTGTTAATCTGCCTTGTTCCCTAAATTTGTGCTGAGGCAGGCTCGGGAGGGTTTCCGGTGGGGAGATTTCCCCTTCTGGGAAGCGTGTTGAAGGCCACGTCAGGACGACTGCTGGAGGAAGCAGTTGAGATCCCTGGAGGGCACAGACAGATCCAGGAGTTACCAGAACTGAGAGGGAATATGTCAGGAGTTGCTGAACAGAAGCCAATTGTTCTGCTGCATCCTGGCAGTTGAATCCACTGCCTGTTCTGGTGTGGTTCTTATTTTCGTCTCTCTACCTAGTTTGGCTTGGACACCAGGACACTTCCATCAACTTGTAGGCTCTGACCTGCTCTGTGGTACTGGGCATGTCACTGTTCTTCCTCTTTGCAGAGCACGCATTTAATAGTTCCTTCCTCACTGGAAGGAGCTGGGCAGATAAGCATACAAAGCATTTGTGAATATCTTTCAAACAAGCCCTGTTCAATTCCCTTTGGTCATCCTTTGATGGTTCCCCACCTGCTGTGACCATGGATGTGAGTAAAGCTTCTTCATGCTTGCAGGACCTTTCTGTCTGGGAGCATTCCACTAGCCAGATGTGTTCACAGCTGTCCTGGGGAGCAAAAAGGAGGCAGCTTAAGGCGTTTGGTCAGGAAGAATGAAAATGAGTGGGACTGTGGTGGGGGGACATGTCTCCCTAGTAGTGATTTTTTGGGAGTTGTAGCCTCTGTTGTGAAGAACTGTTGAGGGAACATGGATGTACCTGGTCACTTGGTTTGTGTGAGGGACCACATGAAATTAATTTGCTCTCTAAACAGGACTGTGCTGGTAACCCCTGCTTTTGGCAGTGGATGCCATGGATGTGCCTTGTCAGCAACTCCTGTTGATAGAGTTTGGATGAAATGCTTCAGGCAATACTGGCTGTAGCCATTGTCCTGAAACAGCAATAACAAGAAGGGATGAAGAAGTTTAACTGTGTTCACAGGCAGAGGGGAGCAAAGGCTGTGTCAGAAAGAAAGCCAAAGGGAAAGTCAGGTCAGTAACTGAAAGCCTGATGGTTTCTCTTAATGTCAAGCAGGGAGCAGTGCAGATACATAAAGGTTAGAGTCAAATGCAGCCAGCTGGAAGCTGCTTCCAGGGCTAGGAAGAAAAAGGTTTTGATCTTTTTAAGGTCCTGTGACCTCTCCCAGTGTTAAGCATTCCCCCATTCAGAACAGAGGAGCTCTAAATAGGGAGCTCAGTTGGGTGAACTACTCACTACACTGTAGAAGTTGCCCTCTGCCTACTGGCTTCTAGTGAGAGGACAACGGGCAATGGGTTAAAACTGGAAGAGGGGAGATTTAGGTTGGACATGAGGAGGAAATTATTTGCTGTGAGGGTGGTGAGACCCTGGCCCAGGTTGCCCAGGGAAGCTGTGGCTGCCCCATCCCTGGCAGTGGTGAAATACAGGTTGGATGGGGCTTGGAGCAACCTGGGCTGGTGGGAGGTGTCCCTGCTCATGCAGGGGGTTGCATCTAGATGATCTTTAAGGTCCCTTCCCACCCAAACCATTCCACGATACTATCCTGTGATTCTACAGAAAGCAGAGATAACTTTTGCCCACTGGATTGTTATTTTTGCTGTTCTTGGCTCAGCGTCAGCAAAGCTCGTGATCTCTAGAGAAATGGAAGCTCTTATAAGTGACTTGCTTGTTAAAGATTTGGGCCTGTCAGTTCTTTGTGTAGGTGACCTCCACGTGGAGCAAATATCCTGGGGCTCAAAATCCCAGGGCTGCAGCTTCCAAAGTGACTAAGAATGTTATATATCAAGGGTGGAGTTTTTTGTTCAATTGTTAACGTCTGTCATTCAGATTCCTTAGTGACCTAAGTGAGAGGTGCTGAAAGGGAACCTGGCGTGTAGAGAGTTGGTGCTTGGTCCTCCATGGAAAAAAACCAAACGTGTCCCATCTGAAATTGACCCTCAAAATGACAAGTTTCTGTTCCTTTTTGGCACTCGAGTTGAAAGGTTTGGCTTGTGGCCCTGTGATGTCACCAGCAGCACACTTACTTCCATAGGAAGACTCGAGCCTTTCTTTATATCAGTTTTTTTTTACCTCCCTTTCTTGCCTGTCTCTCTAAACCTTTTCCTTCACTGTCTGTCTCTTCCTCTGCCCTCAAAGTCAGGGTTTCCTGCTCTCCTCTCTCTGCTCCTCTGTATCCTCCCTGGGAAGGCTGTCCACATCACCTATGAGCCAGGCTGGCAGGCCTTGGGGGCAGATGGCTCCTCAACCTTGCAGCAGGTAACCTTTCTGGACAGCACTGGGGAGGGCTGGGTCACATCTGCCTCTCATGCTTCCAGCCCTTCAGTTCTAGCTTCTTCTTCTGCCAACCTCCATAGTTTTGTTTTCTTTTTGTGATTTTCTCAGTTGGTTTTTCCATCCTATGGCTCTGAAGCTGCCTCTTGGTACTGGATGAGCAGCCTCCATAGCACTGAGTGGATGTGCTAGAGCCCAGACCTTTTCCAGCTTTGTTCACTCATGTTCTTTGTGTTGCTCAGCAGGGTTTCGTTGGTTTTGCATTTCCTTTCTGCAGCTTTAACAGGATTTGCTGACCTTTTAAGGTGACACCCTGTCAGTCAGGTTGGTGGTTCTGCTAATGATCCATCTGAGGTTTAAATGTCAGGTCCTAGAGAGTCTCTAGAACTGACGTATTTTCAGCCAGACAGGGATGAAGGGAACAACCTTCCTTCTGGCTCAGGAGATGGGAACAAGCTCTGTCCTGGGCCCCTTTCTGCTGTGCAGGGACAATTCTTGTGGGCCCAGGTGCGAAAGGCAAGGAGCAGACATTAGAATGGGGAAAGCTGTTCCTTCTCTTTGAATTCCCTTTGAGACACCTCCTTTCCTACCCTTAACTTGCCTCTGCAAGCTTGTGTGGCTGCCCAGTGTTCCCATTACTTCTGCAACTCCCCAAACACCAGAGTTCTGGGCTTGGAGTGGTCTCTAAAGGGCTGGCATACCCTGTGAGCTCATACTTGAGCTCACCAGATGTGATCCTGCTGTTGGCTTTTTCTAAAGAGCTTTTTCCAGTCCTTTTCTTTAGCAGTCCCTTCCTTACAGAAGAGTTCTGCCTCCTGTGTCCTGGGTGCCAGTGTCACTGGGCTTTGCCATTCAGCTGCTCTCCTCATTCCTGCCATGAGCTGAGTGGGCACTTGGGTTGGTGGCTTTCTTGCAGCAGAGGTGCTGCCCTGTCCTCGAGAAAGATGAGATAAAGAGGTTCCTGCAGATTTGTGGCAGAATAAGCCCAGTATGGCAGTGTCAGGCTGCCACAGAACTGCTGATGGGTGGGAGGTGACAGATCCTTGGAGCAGGCCAGCTTCCCTCAGACACCTCTGTGATGTCTGAGCCTTTCTAGATGCTGAAGCAGATGTTTTGTGGTTAGGTTACCTGCACAGTAACAGGTAACTTCTGACATGGTCTCTCTCCCTCCACCCACCTTTCCCTCTTCCCTCCCCTCTTGGACACCCATTGCAGGTCGACTCCATTTTATTTGCTGAATTCCAGGCCTGGAAAGAATCTCCAACTTTGGATAAATCCTGCTCCTTCCTAGACAGAATTTATCGAGAAGATGTAGGACCTTGTCTGGACTTCACTAAGCAGGAGGTGAGTGCTGGAAGAAGCAGGACAAAAGCCTGCACAGCCTGGCAGCACCAAAGTGGCACGTTTCTGGAGGTCCCCTTTGCACGTTCCTGTCTGCACTGATTTCTCTCTGCTGCAGCTGTCGGAGCTGGTACGAGTGGCCGTGGAGCAGAACACACTCACCATTGAGCCCGTTGCTTCCCAGACACTGCCCGTGGTGAAGGTGTCAGCAGAAGAGTGTGGTGGGCCAAAGTAAGGAGCTGTGCTTGTGCTCTCTTATCCTCTCCTTGCTACTCATAGAACCATGGAATGGTTTGGGTTGGAAGGGACCCTAAAGATCATCCAGTTCCAACCCCCCTGCATGGGCAGGGATACCTCCCACCAGATCAGGTTGCTCCAAGCCCCATCAACACTGCTCGGGATGGGGCAGCCACAGCTTCTCTGGGCAACCTGGGCCAGGGTCTCACCACCCTCACACTGAAGAATTTTCTCCTAATGTCCAACCTAAATCTCCCTTTCCCTTCTCCCTCCCCAGCTTTCCTGGAGCCCTTTCAGGCACTGGAAGCTGCTCTAAGGTCTCCCTGGAGCCTTCTCCTCTCCAGGCTGAACACCCCAACTCTCCCAGCCTGTCTCCAGAGCAGAGCTGCTCCAGCCTCTAATCATCTCTGTGGCCTTCTCTGGCCCTCATCTTTTTGTACAGTCTCATGGAGTTTGTCCTTGCCCAAGTCAGTTGAGTTGAACAGTTCAGAGGTCCCAGCTGAGTGTTCTTCTACTCTGTGACCAGTGGTAGTTCAGCTCAACTCTTTACATGAGAAGGGGAGTTAGCTCAGCTGATGTCCTGTAGTTGCCTGTTTTGAGGGATAACCTAGTGACATGTTGATGCCCTTGGTTTAGGAGAGGGTTGTTTTTTTTTCCCCTTAAGGTAGCAGCTTGTTTAATGTTCTCTCAAGGTATGTTTGTGCCTAACCTGGGCTGAAAGGATTAAGTCACGGCTGTGTTATCTCATGTTCTTGCATGCTGGGAGCTTTGAGCTCACCTTGTGCTCCTGGCCCTGCTGGTGCACCGGGTGGGTTTGAGCCTGGGTCAGAAGAGATCAGCTCAAAAATCCTGTTGGAGCATTTTCTCAGACAGTAAATGCTGCTTTTGTAGTAGGAAATCTGCACACTTTTTTCTGCATTTTCCATCATCTCTAGGCACATTGTTCCATGGATATGTGTCAGGCCTGTTCCAAGAACAACCCATCCTGTGTTTATCCTTATCAGTTTCTTTTTGATTTATTGATTTATTTTTTTTGGTGTCTTCACAGTGGGTTCCGGTCCCAAATTGTAACGTAAGTGAAGGATTTATTTTTGAGTCAGTGACCAAATATCTCTAATCCATTAACAAGTTACTAACAGTGCAATTTAGCAGCTTTGAGACTAGAGCTGAACTGAGCTAACTTTTTAACCCTCTTTAATTACCACCCAGACAAGATGGGAAAGTACCTTCCTATTGGCAATAAAGGACCTAAAAGGAATTTGTTCCCAGATTATTTTTATGGCAACCTTGGACATGCTACCAACCTGAAAGGAGAAGGGTGGGGGTCCCTGCCCAAGCTGGGTCCTGCCAGACCTACTTTTCTCTACCCTGCTGTGTGGACACCTCAGTGCAGCAGTTTATGGGGTCTGGACAGTCAGGAGCTGAGTTGGCCTCTATGTGACATTGTCCTTTTAGCATCAGAGGAAAATGCTGACCAGGAGGACAACTGTTTTTCATGGGTCTGGCAAAGTGCCCTGTGGTATGTAGAGTGCTGAGACATGAGACACAGAGACCTGCTCAGAAGCTCTCTGAAACATCTGATCCCATGCGTTGTCACCTTCCATGGCCTGCAGAACAGTTTTTGGCCGCTGGGGAGTGATGTCCCTCTTCCCATTATGCAGGCACTAAGTATCCAGGGAATGTGGTGGTGACTGCAGCAGAAAATTCTGTTTAACTGCTTTCATTGGTGATGAAGGAAGGGCAACTGGCTGGTGCTAGGGACCATTAATCCTGCAAATAACAGAAGGAAATTGCAAGAAAATAAAAAGATGCTGCACCCTTGCTGGTGGAGTCCTTTGGTGATCTCCCTGAGAGCTGAGCTGTCTTGAAAAGACTGTTTTCTTCACTCAGTCTGAAATCTCCTTAAAATTGTGAAGCCAGCCTTCTTCCCTGCCTGCAGAAGAAGGGACTGGCTTGCTCTTAGAAGCTGCCAGCTTTCTCCAAAGCCTCCTGAAGTCACTCCAAAGTCACTTCAACTGGAGTAGCTACAAATCAGGCTCAAATTAATTAATAGGAGTCTAGGGTAAAGGCTGCGGTGCTGCTTGTTTTGTATTCTCAGCAGGCACAAGTTCTGCTCAAATTTTTGAGACCAGGTCTGGTCCCCAGCCAGCATGTTTGCCTCCTGTCAGGAGAGCTGATACACCTAAGCAGAACTCCCTCAGCAGAAGCCTCACCTGGAACATGGAGGAGATGTGCAGAGACCAGATGCTGTTTGTTATACTCTGCTCCAGCCTCACCTCTTTAATATTTTCTGAGGTTTTCATCTTGGGTTCTCTGCCTGGGAAAAGGTTCAGCCTTGGTTTGCTTGGGCATGGAGTAATTTGTGGTTCCAGATACTTAGCCTAAGGTCTCATAAACGTGCCATTCATGGAATCTTTAAAGGAGCAAAAGGCACAGCCAAAGTTTTTTCTTCTTCATGCTGAACTGATGCAGCATCTGGCTTCTGAGCTCCTGCTTCCATCTCTTGGGGACAGCCTTGAAGTGGCTGAATTGCTGTGCTCTGCTGTGCCACTGGATTGCCCAAGGTTTTTTTTTAATTTTTGTCTGCAGGAAATGTGCTCTGAGTGGCCTCCCCAGGACTTGCAAACACCGCATCATGCTGGGGGATTCTGGGAGTTACTACTACATTTCACCATCCTGCAGGGCCAGGGTGAGTCTTCTACCTTCCTCAACCTTCTAAAATTGTTCCAAGCCCTGAAATGGAGGAGTTTGGGTCAGCTCTCAAACTGACAGAGACCTGTGGGGCTTGAGCGTGTTCCTGAAGTCCAGGTGACTCTTGGTCCATGACTAGAGTGCAGGTCTCCAGCCCTTGCCTCATGCTCTGGTGCTCAGCCTTATGTTCCTTCAGGCAACTTGTCTTCAGTGAGTTCAGTCTCCATGGTTTGATTCAGTACAGAGCTTTGATTGTTTTGCTTTATTATTCTTTTTAAATCCTCCTTTGTAAAACACAGTAATTTTCTGCTCTTTAAATGCTGGCTCTTGTTCCAGTGCAGGTCAGTGACTCAGGTTGTGAGAACAAGCTGCCCTTTCTTTGGAGGGGAGGAAGAAGGTGAATGATCTGTTAATGTTGCTGTTGGGGCTCTGACTTTTTCCTGAGTTGTTTATCAGAAGAGTTGATCCTGCAACATGTGACAAAATTATTTCTGAGACAAAAAGTTGGTTCTGTCTGTGGACTTAGGTTGACCAATTTTTGTCACACTCTGAAGTGTCACAAACCCCCTCACCTCCCTGCACCCAAACTTCTACCTCCAGTGGTTTTCATTCTGTTGGAGAACAGTGCCCTCCCTTTGAAGGAAGATCATGGACTTTCCCACATTAAGTAGTGATTACTTATGTCTCAAATCAGCAGCAGATTGGAGCTCTCCCACAGTGTGTCTTATGGATGGTGGAGTATCTTGGGATGGGAGTACAGATGCCCAGATTTTTTCATGTTTTATTTTTTTAACCAGATTTTTTTTCCTCTCTCTTTTCTATTTGATAGTGTGTGGTGCTATTTCTCAGGTGCTGAACACTAAGAGCTCTCCTGCTGGGGGCGTGCAGGCCTCTTGCAGGCAGAGTAGCTGACTTTTTTCCTTGTTTTTCTCTTTCTGTCTCCCTCAGATCACAGCAGTGTGCAACTTCTTCACATACATTCGCTATATCCAGCAGGGCTTGGTGAGGCAGGATGGTAAGAGGGGGCAGTATCTGGCTGGGGTGGGGTTGTCTTCTTTGGGCTATTGGAAGGAGTTAAGAGGTCCTATTCAGTGGGACAGGAGCAGGGCCAGCTCAGGGTACCCCCTGCCTTTGAGAGGCAGTTAAATTATAGAACCACAGAATCATAGAACGATTTGGGTTGGAAGGGACCTTAAAGATCATCTAGTTCCAACCCCCTGCATGGGCAAGGACACCTCCCATGAGACCAGGTTACTCCAAGCCCCATGCAGCCTGGTCTTGAACACTTCCAGGGAGAGGCAATCCACAAGAAAGGCATGAGTGGGAGGAATAGAAGCACCTACTCCATCAGCTTATTGGGAGGTTTGCCCTGGGGTGGAGCTGGTCAGGGGTGACGTGATGGGCTTGTCCTGCTGGGCCCTCCAGCATGTCTGCTTCTCTCACGTTGAGGGTGAGCCTGGCTGGGCTGCACTGAGCATGGCCAAACATGAGGTGGTGTCCAGCTGTGTCTTGCTTACTGTTTTTTTGGTGTTTTTTTACCTTCTCTTCCCCACACCCCTTCTGCTTTGCAGTGGAGCTGATGTACTGGGAGGTCATGCGGCTCCGCAGCTGTCTGTGGACTTAGGTTGACCAATTTTTGTCACACTCTGAAGTGTCACAAACCCCCTCACCTCCCTGCACCCAAACTTCTACCTCCAGTGGTTTTCATTCTGTTGGAGAACAGTGCCCTCCCTTTGAAGGAAGATCATGGACTTTCCCACATTAAGTAGTGATTACTTATGTCTCAAATCAGCAGCAGATTGGAGCTCTCCCACAGTGTGTCTTATGGATGGTGGAGTATCTTGGGATGGGAGTACAGATGCCCAGATTTTTTCATGTTTTATTTTTTTAACCAGATTTTTTTTCCTCTCTCTTTTCTATTTGATAGTGTGTGGTGCTATTTCTCAGGTGCTGAACACTAAGAGCTCTCCTGCTGGGGGCGTGCAGGCCTCTTGCAGGCAGAGTAGCTGACTTTTTTCCTTGTTTTTCTCTTTCTGTCTCCCTCAGATCACAGCAGTGTGCAACTTCTTCACATACATTCGCTATATCCAGCAGGGCTTGGTGAGGCAGGATGGTAAGAGGGGGCAGTATCTGGCTGGGGTGGGGTTGTCTTCTTTGGGCTATTGGAAGGAGTTAAGAGGTCCTATTCAGTGGGACAGGAGCAGGGCCAGCTCAGGGTACCCCCTGCCTTTGAGAGGCAGTTAAATTATAGAACCACAGAATCATAGAACGATTTGGGTTGGAAGGGACCTTAAAGATCATCTAGTTCCAACCCCCTGCATGGGCAAGGACACCTCCCATGAGACCAGGTTACTCCAAGCCCCATGCAGCCTGGTCTTGAACACTTCCAGGGAGAGGCAATCCACAAGAAAGGCATGAGTGGGAGGAATAGAAGCACCTACTCCATCAGCTTATTGGGAGGTTTGCCCTGGGGTGGAGCTGGTCAGGGGTGACGTGATGGGCTTGTCCTGCTGGGCCCTCCAGCATGTCTGCTTCTCTCACGTTGAGGGTGAGCCTGGCTGGGCTGCACTGAGCATGGCCAAACATGAGGTGGTGTCCAGCTGTGTCTTGCTTACTGTTTTTTTGGTGTTTTTTTACCTTCTCTTCCCCACACCCCTTCTGCTTTGCAGTGGAGCTGATGTACTGGGAGGTCATGCGGCTCCGCAGGGAGATGTCCTTGGCCAAACTTGGGTTTTATTCCAGTGAGATGTGAGCAGAGGCCCAAGCATGGAAGGAAACTGCTCCTGGATGAACAGCTTGTCAAACGTAGTCTGCTGAACAGATGGATGCAATCCCTCTCCTGCAGTGGGTCTTCTTCCCTCCCTCTGCCTGGAGCTAATCAAGAAGCAAGAAGCACAAGTTCCACTTCCAGCTGTCCCACTTCTCCAACTGTGACTGGAAAGCAGCTGCCAAGCTACCACCCCAGTGGAGCTGGGCTGGCCCTGGCTGCTCTGGGGTGGCCATCTATAGACTGTCCTCTGTGGAGTTTCCTATATGCAGTGTATATCCATTTTTTAAAAAAACCTTTGTTTTTATATGCAATCTGCTTTGGCATAGTCTGAGGCCAAGCCTGTGCAGGGCAGGAGTCCTGGACCTTCTTTGGAAGCACATTTTTCAGGACAGATGCTGGCTGTCTGTCCATCTGTTGGTGGAGGGTGCTGTGCCCAGGTTCTCCTCACCACTTCCTCCCCCTGTACATGCCAGCACCACACAATGATGGAGAGCCATGAACAGCCTAATTCCAAGTACTTCCTTGCTCCTTGTAAAGGAGCCTGCACGAGAAGCTTTTCTGCCAACTGAGTCAACAAAGAGGGATTTGTTGCCATTTTTAGCTTGTTATTTGGCACTGGGGGAGCAGAGGCTGGAGCTGGGCACGTGGGGCCTTCAGCAGAAGAAAAGCAAGGAGAAAAACTGCAGAACTCATAGCTGGCTGCAGCCTTCAGGAGGTTTCCTCCTCATCTAGAGGTTCTGCTGCACTTTTCACAGGCAGATATGGACCTTGACTGCCCTGTGGCAGTCCTTGATGCACAAGTCCATCGTGGTGCTCTTGGAGACAAACCTCACCCACAAAGAGATGCTTTTGAGAAGTTCCTGCTTTCAGGGTAACTTTGGGTGGTAGTTCCCACTATTTAGATAGAAATCCTGGTCCCAGGCTGGGTTCTTTGTCTCCAAGAAGCATGCCTGGGCTGGGAGCAGTCGTGAGGCCTCGAAGTTTCTTTCCTCCCAGGGTTGCATCAGTCCTAGACCTGAATGTCTGCTGGGAAACCCAGCTTCTCCTGGGCTGCTATCTCCAGCAGGTTTGATACATATTTCTGTGCACATGACAGTTCCTGTTTGCCTCAAATGTGCAGGAATGAACGTCCCTAAAGCTGTTGGGAAGCAGAGGGCTGATGTAGCTTGAGCTCAGGCCCAGGCTTTTCTGAACAGAACTGTTAAAGCCATGCCAGTGTTTTGTAGCCAATTTAGCCTTTTTTTCAGTGACTGTGGAGTCAGCTCAGCCACCACTTGCCCTGGAGATTTCATCTCACATGGCATTTCTGCACTCTTGGTTGGTATGTCACCCTGTCCCTCTGCCATCATCATAACTCCCATCTTGGTAGGTTGATGCCCAGAACCAATCACCATCCTCAGCTCCATCAAGTTTCATCCTCTCCTCGGAGATGCTACAGCAGGAACTCTGGATCTTCAGTGGATGAAAGTTAACTGAGCTGCTGTGGTTTTGTCCAGGGGAGGGAGGAATAGATAGGGAAGAAAAAAGCTTTTGGTTTGGAGGCTAATACAAGGATCTTCTGTGGAATATCCCCATGAGCACAAGCTTTCCTGTCACTGAGCACACTCATGGGATGCTGCAGAGTTGTTCCTCAGGGCACTCCTCTCCTTACACCTCTCCTGGCATGTTTGCCAGGGGTTGGTGGCCATGTGAAACATGAGTGGTCATCCCCTGAGCTGGGAGGACACATCCTGACAATACCCACTACCTTTGAATCCACCTCCTTCAGCTCAGGAAGGGCTGACCTGCAAGTTGTTAACACTCCAGTTCTGCTTTTGCTTCCCACAGCTGAGTGCCTCAACTCATGCTGCTCCCCCAGCTAGATGAGTGTGTACATCTGCAGCTCTTCACCCCAGGAGTGCATTTCAAATGTGGAGTAAAAGCCTGGAAAATACATCTTTGGGTAAGAGCCTGGCAGGGTCTCAGGCTGGTGCTAAACCTGCATCTCTTTGGTGTCTGCAGACGTGTGGCTATTTGACATCAGCTTTTCCAGAGGAGAAAGCAGAAATGTCTTTCCCCAGTTGCAGATTTCAGCTCAGGTAAATTCTGACCCTGGCAATTTCTCCTGGTGTCTGTTCCCCCTGACCTTTTGATCTCTCTGTGTCATCCTGTGCCATCAGCTGCTACATTGCACAACAGACGTGGCTGCTTCACAGCACTGGGAATGAGATGCTGTCTCTATGTAGGAGATGGTTTGGTGTGAAGGGGTTTTCTTCCCGCCCCCCAGTGTCATTTTGTAAAGCACTTTGAGATGAAAGAAATTGGAGAAATGCATTTGTTAAGATTGTCTTACACTTAAAACAAAACAATCTGTAAATGAAGTCACTCCATTAGCAGTGGGGTGGTTGCTCCCTGCTCTTTAAGAAAGGAAAATAAACATTTGTTATTAACCTCATTAAAGGTCTGGTTGCTGTTGGGTTTGTTGGGGTGGGTGTGCTTGGTAGCCAAGAGAAAAATCAGGTTGGGCTGGTGTTGTACTCTGTGCTTCTGCTGCTGAGTGTCCTGAGGGACTGAGTTTTCAGTGTTTCTCTTGGTCAGTCTGGCTGCTCCTCAGCTTCTCCAGGGGACTAAGTGACAGTGTCCTGGTAGCAAACCCTGGTATCCCAGGTATTTCTTGTGACAAGACAAGCCCCTGTGGTTCTTGCTGAGCAAGGCTGAGGTCTCCAGCTCAGCTGTGGCCTGGGTCATTTTGCTGGTTTAAAGCATTCCATGGGGGATGCTGGCTGTCCCAAAGGCAGGTGAGTTCCAGGATCTTCTTCCTCTTTCCTTGCAGGGCTGAGCAGTCTCCTGCTTTTCCAGTCAGCAGGTGGAGGCAGAACCATGGTGGGAGCTTTTCAGAAGCTGCCATTACCCGTGCGCCCTTAGTGGTGTAGAGTCAATGGTTTTCTCTGGAGACTTTTGGATCATGGACTCCTCTTTGGCAGGTCTTGCACAGCAGGCTGGGGCTTTGGATGCATAGGCAGGAGGAGCTGCCAAGCATGAGTGGTAGCAACTGCGGGGACTGAACTTGCTCCTGTTGTTCAGGTAATTCCACCTGCTTTTAACTTAACAGGCTGTCAGGCCTGGGCACAGGCTGCTCAGAGCACTGGTGAAGTCCCCATCCCTAGAGGGGTTCAAAAGCCATGTAGATGTGGTGCTTGGGGACATGTGGTGGCCTTGGCAGTGCTGGGTTAACAAATGGACCTGATGGTCTTCAAGGTCTTTTCCAACCCAAAAGATCCTATGATTCTAAAGCAGGAGCAGAGCTGATGGTGTCTGCCCATCCTGCAGGTCCCCTCAGTGCCAGTGCTGCAGTTGAGCAGGGGGGAGCTGCCAGGAGAGCCAGAACAAGTTCCCCTGGGTGGATGGGGGGCTTCAAGGAGGAGATGGCAGGCAGCCACCAGGACCAACAGCAGATATGATGGGGTAATCAGAAGCACCATCCTGCCAAACTCAGAGCTGTGTCTACACATCCCTGTCCTGGTGAGTCTGGGCTGGGCTGTTTGTGCTCACAATGACTGTAAAGTTGCTTTGTGCTTTTCAGCTCCTCAGTTGTCCTGTGTTTAGCAGCGACGTTTGGAGCTGGGAACTGTCTCCAGAGTGGAACATCAACTGTATGGATTTATTTTTTTTTAAAGCATTCTACAGAGTTTGTGTTAAAAAGCAATGCAGGAATCTTCGTTCTTTGAAAGGGAGAGGAGTTTATGTTACTTCTCAGGTCTGGTGCTACCTTGTGCAGCAAGGCCAGGCAGCCACCAGAGGGCACAGGCAGACCAGGCAGGGATTGTCCTTCCCAGGCTGCCAGAATGGAGCATCTCCAGGACCTCGCTTCTGCGAAGGCATCACACTTGGCTGACCTGTCTTCTGAAGCTTCTTGGCCAGGTGTAGGTCTGCAGCCTTCCTCTGCTCCTGGCAGTGGGAATTGGTGGTGGATGCCTTTGTAGGCAACTGGAGAGCGAGTCTGTGATGTGGGAAGGAAGGATTTGGATGTCCAGGGATTCTTGGTGAAGCCTGAGGAACATTGCAAAGTCCCTTATCCCTGCCTGCCCACCTCTTCCACCAGACCTTTCCTGCTGTTTTCCCTCTCAGAAGTAAATCATGCTTCAGCTGCCAGGCCTCCTGGTTCAACTTGGAGCTTCCCTTTCCCTGTCTGTCAAACTGGGGGATTATTATTTTCCACCATGAGGTGGATATTTGGGGCACACCATTTAGGGACAGCTTCTGTCTGGAGCTCTAGTAGGAGTGATAGATTGTGTTCTTGTGCTTGATCTATTGGATCTGCCTGTGTGTGGGGCTCTGGGCCTTTGTGCGTGAGTTCATGGCTGGGAGGGATGTCTGGAGGTCCAGAATGAACCTTCTGAACCTGGACTGCAAAGGAGCTTGGGTTTGGGACAGAAAAGGGATATTTTCCATTTCTGATGGATGTTAATGTTGTGCACAAGGAGGTGCTTTTAGGTACTTGATACAGAACCTAGAAGACTGAACAGCAAGAAGAGAGAAACCATGATAAGAATTCTAGAGATCTGGTTGCTCCTGCCAGTTCCCTGGATCGGCTGCTCCTGTCCTTTACCCTTTCTTCAGAGTTACTCAGGGTTTGCCCAGGGCTGTAAATCAGGCTGTCTGTACACAGTAGGTCAGGTTGCCCCCACATGCACACTATGTTTCCAGGAACCACCAAATGAAAGATTGTTTTGTTTGTTTGTTCCAGGTGCAGAGAAGGAGAAGGTAGAAGGTGAGCAGATGGGCCTCCAAGAAGTCAGCTATTTCACAGCTTCCACAATGAATAATAACCTTCCTTTGCAGCAGATGAATCAAACTGGTGAGGATTGCTGCAGAATAGGCAGCACTGCATCAGGTGTGGGGGAATTCCAGTCATTCCAGAAATCTGGGAAGCGTGGCCCTGCCAGGAAGAAGTTGGTGTCCTGACACAATCCTAAAGGTGCATGTGACACTGGGGGTTGGGGCTGGCCAGCTCTGCCAAGCCAAGACTTTCCTTATAGGAGCAATCCAGTGGTGCCACCGGTGTTGGAAGCCAAGAGATTGATTTTTCCTATTGATCCTGTCAATATTTCCATATTTGTGCCTGGGTTGTTGGGCTGGGCTGAGACAGGAGCTGAAATGTTGACTTTTTACCTGGTTAAGGCAGATGGACTTTGTGCTGCTTTACAAC